ATTAGATTGTGGCCCACATTCATAGCAAAGTTATTTATCTTAGGAATAATTTATGGGGTAGAGTTGCATATATAAAGACTTCTAACTTTTCTTCTCTTCTTGATGTTAGACTTTTTTTTATTTAATGTTTAGCGGTTTTGCTATTTTTGGGCAAGTTGTATACTTGTGTGAGACTAATGTGAGATTTTACAATGTTACATGCACTTCAAACTTTCAACATTAGTGGCAGTGGACAAACTTACTCTGGTGCTTACTCAATTAATTCAATTTAAGTTGCTTATTAATTTGGTGTGTTAATACTTCATTTAAGAGTGCTTTACATAGTACTTATTCTACATCATCATATCTAAAAATATAAATTTATTATAAATATTTAATTTAATTAATATTTTGCATATTTTTAATAATTTTAATTAATAATTTATATATTTTTACAATATAAAGAAAAAAAAAACCCTAAAATTATAACAGAATAATCCTAAACAAAACCTAAGTTTATGTTGTTATTATGATAATGATGTCCAGTTTTAGTTTGGACTCCTTAGCTCTCTATTAAAGTCGAGTTGGAAATTTTTGCTGAAAATTGACGGTATCAAACATTTCATATAGTTAGCAATTTTCTTTCTAATGTTGTTAAATAATATATAAATTAGTAGAAAAAATGTTCATGTCAGATAAATGGGTCTTACATATGCTAAATCATCAAGATCAAACTAAATGCTTATATAATAAATTTCACATAATTCTAACATCTCATATTGTTATTTGTTACATTTCAATTAATTTATTTCAATCAAAAAGTGTATTAAAGTGATTTATTTTAGGCTTAACCCCTAGTACCACCCTCCTATATGTGGTTATTGTGGATCTTAACCCCTCAACATATAATGTAAGTTATTTAACCCTTGAACTACTCATGTCTTCGACAATGGTCCCAAAATTAATGGCAAACAAGCACATAACTCATGTGCTTGTCTTTGCCCATTAACTTATGTGTATTAAGTGCCACATCATTGTCATAACATTGCCATGTTGAAAAAAAAATTATCTGTTGTACCTATGATTTTGATGATTACAAAACACATTTGAGTGACTAATTGATTTATTTAAGTGTATAGTTAAATTGCCAATATACTGCAAAGTAAGCAAAATGAGATTACATTAAAAAGGGCTCAAAGGGTAAAAATATGTAGAGAGCTGGCTTAAGAAAATTGCAGTGGGCTCTGGGAAGCAAAAATGCAGAGAGCCGGCTGCAGATTTTTTTTTAGCTGACTCTACAGACCAGAAATTCAACTGCTGTTTTGGCGTGCGCGGAAAATGGAAGCAGAGCCGGCTCCCACCTTGTAGCCGGCTGTGAGGGTGCATTTAATGCACAACGGTCGAGTTATTTGAAGATTATTTAATGTGCTTAAAGTTGGAATCCTAAAGCCAGCTCTAGGCTTTGCAGTTGGCTGTGGAAGAAAATAGAATGTGCAGGAATCTCGCAAAGCTGGCTGCAGAAATGGTGAGCCAGCTGTATAAAGCCAGCTCTAAGAAGCTGAGCCGGCTCTCTTGACAATCCTGCAACTTGAGCTTTGCGTCCTGCAAAGCATTAAATGACCCCCAACGGCTAGTAACGGTTATTTTTGACCATGGGGTTATAAATATGGTTGGTAACAGATCTGAAGAAGTCAGGAGAACATTATATTGAATATCTTTACTAACCAACTTGTGCTTTAACTAGAGATTTAATCTTTGAGAGACCTTTGTTTGTAATTCTCTTCTTATGCTATTAGTGAGTGATCTTGGGGGTGTGTTGATTCCTTCAAGAGTGATCTGTAGAGAAGATCTTTGAGGTTTAAGTGTAAAGGGGTGAGATTTGAGAGAAACACCTATCTTCTTGTAAAGGATTGAGTGGCTCCTTTAAGTCACCATTGTTTTTGTTAGTGGAGAGTGTGGAGAAAATTCTTGGTGAGTGAAGCCAAAGTAGAGGATTAGGCTCTAAGTGGTTGGACCGAACCTCTATAAAATCATTGTGCAAGTTCTTCTTCTCCACTCTTTCTTTAATTTTTGTTTGGTGGTTGCAAAGAGGTGAAAATTCTCCAACTCCAATTCACCCCCCCTCTTGGAGTGCATTGAGTCAACATTATCCAACTTGGATTGATAAAGAC